CCACGCACTCGCACGCGAGGCCCAGACTTGCGCGAGGGTTGGTCTTATGGTCCTGGGGTGACACTTGGCTGGGGAACCAACTGGCAAAATTTTGGCACCGGAGCTTGCTTGGTTGTCGAGTTGAAATACCCGGATAGACACACACACACACATGCAGCGGGGTCGTCACAATATGCGTTTTTGCATTTGCATATAAGCAAAAAATGCATAACAAGCGCACGAAATTCCCAACCGCAAATCGTTGTGGACAGGACGGGGAAAAGGGTGCCCCCAGGCGCGTCTCAGGTATTGTAATTTTAAGAAATATTTTGTTCCTTCAAAAAGTCTGTTGTTCTTTCCAGTAATGGCTATCAAGGAATCCGATTTGCCGAAGGACACCAAAACGGCAAAGGGTGCTGGGGCTAGCCGCGCGAGTCCACCAGCGTCGGGCAGAACCAAAGGGTCTGGCCGCGTAAACGCAGAACGGCCCGTCAGAACACTCTACGGAGAGATTCTCAGCCGCATGAATTGCAGTCGCATGTTTATAGTGGCTGCTTTGTTCGCGGCTTTGGCCGCTGTTGCGCAGTTTGCCTACTATTATGGTGTTGTGATGCCGAAGCGAATTTCACAGAAGTGCGAGCTGCCGACGGTCGGCTTTGAACATGATCCGGTAAGTTTTGCCTTTTTTTTTGACATATTTATTAAGGAAGAGATACCCTTCTTTGATGAAATGGCAGTGTGATGGATAGTCCGGTGCTAGTGAATTCATCTGAGTATGGCAGTTTACTGGGAGTGTGCGGTGTTAACTGTCTGCTATTTGGGCATCTGTTTTGACTTGGCTAGCAGGAAAAGACTGTTTTTCTTTGGAAGAGTCGCTGATTCTTGGACTAAAAAACCGGTCATTTTTTGGTGGGCGGTTAACCTTCATAACAAAACGAGTCCTTGAAAACAAAAAGCATTTTTTAACTCATTTCTATTTCATGCCGTGTGAAATTGAGGACGCTGTCAGCTTGGGCTAATTTACCCGAGATTGTGTTT